CATGGAAAACATTTTGTTAACTATTAACTTTATTGTAACAAGCATGAAGAGTTGATATTATAGAAATTCGGATAAACTCAATCTGTTTTAAGAATCTCAAATCATTTTTGGATTGAGATAAGAGGAAATTGAGTTATTCTAAAATACATCTGTATATATAGGGATGTAAACGAGTCGGGCCGAACTGGCTCACGAGCCTAAAGTTTCGGCTTGGGTTCGGCTAGGTTAAAATAGCCGAGCTTTTTTAGGCTCGATCCAAACTTTTGCTTGGGCTTTTTCCGGGCCGAGCCGGGCAGGCTCGTTTTCTCCCCCCAAAAGGTAGTAGTTTTGTTGCCAAGGCAGCCTCAATTTAATTTTTTTTTTTAAAGCTCGCAAGCTCACGGGTCGGCTCGGACAAAACCCGTGTCTCCAAAATGGGGCTCGGCCTGAGCCTAGGCTCGAGTCTACTGAGCCCCGAGCCGAGTCACGAGCGAGCCGAGTCACGAGAGGTCCGAGCCGACGAGCCCGATTATCATCCCTATGTGTATATATTCATATAATGGCTCCATCTCCATTTTCTTGAAGGGCATTAGAACGGCTTATGGATTAATTAGATTAAACGTTGTCTAAAGCCCTCAAACTTAGAATTTACATATTTTTGTTTTCGCTTTTATTATTAAAAATTTGTCAAAATTAATAAGATTGAAAAATTCAATATAAACAAATTTTTTAGTCAGTAATACTAAAAATAATTAACAAAATTAATTTATTGGAAAATTTTCATCAATAGATAGATTTTAAAAAATGTCGGGAACCAAAAGAAAAATAAAAATAATCTGTAAATTACAAAGAAAGAGAAAACACATAACTTATCTATCAGCATCTAATAAAAAATAAAAATTATAAATGAATAAATTTTTTGAATAACACTGACGGGAGCCTTCGTAAGTGATTTATGACAACATTGCTAACGATATTGTTGTCGATATTCATTGAAAAGTGTGTGTTGTTGATCACCAACAGTGTGACTATTGATAATTTTGTCTAAACGAACAAATATAAGAATTTTAATCAAAATTACCAATAATCATATCATCGAATATCATTAACGGCTTCTTCTCAGTTTGAAGCTTCATCGCAAGTTCCCAACAACATGACTGACGACATTGTCATCGATAATTGCTAATGAAGCCTATCAGTAATCAGCAAAGATATCATTATCAATAATTTCATTTGATTCATATGTTGATTTCAATCTTAAATCACCATCGTATCATTGATGATCAAAAGGAATTTTCTTCAATTACATTTTGCTCCATTTACCATTTTTATTATCGATTATTGATCCTTGAAAAGGTCCCCTCATCGATTCTGCGTAAGACTGTTTTCTGAGAGCATAAACAGGGTACATGTTTCCTAACATCAATGTTAAGTAATAGCCACATTTATCATAAATCAATTTGTCAAATCCACCAATTGAATGATGAGGAAGCATAGAGAAGCATGTTTAAAACTTCTTTTAATGGTTTTGTGAAATATTTGCCCATGATCGGATCACATAGTTCTTAAAGAAATATAACATTCTCACGTCACATCGATATCTAAATGTTCTTAGGGATAAAGATTCCGATGACACACCATATTTTTCATCTTGTATTCCTTATCTCACTTTGCTTTCCACATATGATGCCAATAAGTTGACATGTTTCTTTTTCTCCTTTAATCTCCAAATCTTTCTTAAAAATTTATAGATTGCGTTAAAATAATAATGTTAGTAGTAGAGTGATAAAACATTAAGCATGAGAAGAAGTGTGGATATCTTTCAAACCATGAAACTCCTTTTTATGCATGGATGATGTTCATGTTTTCTCGTAATCCTAGAGCTCACGACCATGATGCCTCCCATTTTTTTTTTTCAAACCTACTATGTGTTCTGGCAGACTTCTTAGAACACACATATAGGTGGGATGGATAAGGTTTTTTTGGCAATTTTCTATTCACGGTGAATTCTACACATGAGAGTAATCTGACCAAATTATGTGGAAAAAATTCTATACAAATGACTTTTAAGTGTTTTTCCCCCCAATCGATGCCTCAACTCTCGACGTTTCAAAGACGTGGATTTGATGGGCAATCCATGTGGCTGGTTAAAACTAGGATAAAATATATAACTAAAAAGTTTTCAAGATACAATTTAAAAAATAAGAAACCTACATAAAATTTCAAAAAATTGTGAGATAAAAATTTTATGGCTTAATACTAATTAAACAGGTTGTGATCGAATTAATACACAATTTATGGTCACAATCACGTATTGATCACAAATCACATAATATCACAGTCACAAAAACACAAATTATTAATCACAATTTTAAATTTAATTGTAAATCACACTTTTTTTAGGTCACATTAATTGGTTACAAATTATCTATTTATGGGTCTAATTACTCAAATAATTGTCACATGCTCTTCATCCCTCTCCACCACTCCACCATTGGCACCGCCCGAACACTGTTGCCACTTCACCACGACCACAATCACCTAACCGCCAGCACCACCACCACATCCACCGCACTAGCACCATGCAAATCTATACACCCAACCTACCATCAGACAAACATTAGCGCACCACATCATCCACCTCACCACCAATAGAGTAGATCCGACTAGTTTAAAAGATTTGAAAATTTCAACTTCAAATTCTGTTCGAGGTGGAAGAGATTTTACTGGTGGCAAAGATTTGGTTCGCCGTCACTTTCTCCGGTGTCACCATCTGGACCAGATATTTTACCTTTCTAGCAAGCAATGGCAACGTTCCATCTCATGAAGCCCTTTCCCATTCTCCCTCTCCAGCAAGCCATAGCAATGTCCCATCTCTCGGAGCCACCTCCTCCGCCTTCTCCAGCAAGCAAAAAAAATAGCTGGAGCTCGAGACAGCATACACGAGCGGTCAGGTTACGAAGATGTCGAATTTGGTGGGTGCTGTAGATAGATAGACAGAACAAAGAGGAAGATCGTAGAGAGAGAGGGTATGAGAAGAGAAAGCGATGACAAGTTTTTGGTGATGGCGGCCGGAGCTGGCGGATGGCGGTTGGAGTTTGTGGATCTCGTAGATAGAGAGAGAACAAAGTGCGAAATCAGAGAGAGAGATGGGGTCACAAATCAATTCTTTTACAGGGACATGATCAATGACAGGATTTTATATACGCATACATACATTTGACATTTTTTCATTGACAACGAAAAAATTAAAGAAAATACTGTCAATCAAAAACAACAGTGCCACACTTACACAAAAAATTATAGGAATGTTTTACAGAACACAATAGTGGAGCCCACCTCATAAAATATTTATATGGAGCCCACTTTCATGTGACTGCCATGTAGAACATCTGTGAAAAATATTCACAAGGCATTTTCCAATCAAAAACTACGGTGTGAGGCATGTGGTGTGGGTGTGGCTTGCGTGGAAAATGCTCTGTTATTGCCCTGTTTGTTCACAAATATTGGTGTGAGGCATGTGGTGTGGGTGTGGCTTGCTTGGGAAATGCTCTGTTATTGCCCTGTTTGTACACCAATATGATACGGTGCACCTATTTTTGAAAGAATGATTTTTGTACTTGATTATTAAAATGAGCGTAATTTCCTCTATAATTAGATGGTCATTGCTTGAAATTCATGATGGGTTGCGGGCCTATGTTACGGACCCAAAGTCTAGCAAGGTATAAAATAAAATTTTGTTGTTTGAGTTTCATTATTTTTTCATTAAAATAAAAAATATGAACGTTATTCATCACATCAAGTCATCATATTTGATTTTTTATTTTTTTATGGAGCCTATAACGACTATATTTTTCATTCTCATTTTTACAATATTGTGGTTCAAACGAGGACTTTAACTCTCTTTTAATCCCCATTAATTATCATTCCATTATATTTTATTTTTCTCTCCTATTTTTAATCACAAAATTTTTCATAAAATAATATTACAGATAAATCGAAAAAATTTCATTATTTTTCAACTACTCTTTTTTTTTAAAAAAAAATACTATTCTCTCAATTTTCATTACCACGAAATGAGGGCCAAAAATAACAATGCCGTAGAACAGACGCTCAATGTTACCAAGTTCTAGCCTAGGAATAGATTCTTAATAAAACTGGTCGTTAAGCATGTGGTTCCAAATATTTCTTTAACGATTTTTTATATTATGCATTTAAATTTAAATTTCAAAATTTACCATCCAACCTCCCATATCCACTTTATACCAAGTGGCCTCCATTAAATTTCATTTTATTACATTCTATTTTTCTTTCTCTTATTTTCAACCACACAATTTTTCATAAATTAATATTTCACGTAAATCGAAAAAAAATTTCTTCTTTTTCAACCACTCATTTTTCAAAAAAATATTATTCCACCCATTTTCATTTCTAGAAAATGGGGCCAAACGGTGCTATAAGATTGAAAATTACATGAAATCATCACGTAGCACTCAACATTAAACAAGATAGATTAAAGATTCAAATTTGTATGACACTCGTCCATGAAATACTATATATAAACTAAAAGGGTATTAAACCATCATTTTAGTGTAAAGATATAAAAGTTGTTGCTTCTTTTATCGTAAAAATTGGAACTATTTTCAGCCTTTGGACAAGAACATCGATAAAGAATGCAAATAGTATACAAATTACATAGCTCTTGATAATTTATTTTAATTTTTACACACTAAAAAATTCTTAAAGAAATTTTGTTGCTGTAATGATATATTAATGTCATACCCAGAAATCCAAATTGCAATACAACTATAGTATCAAATAATTTTTGCCGCTTTCTGTTTACTAGCTGAATTAAAATTCTTTTTAATTAACAGGAAATAAATTGTATTATTTCATTAATAAACAACCCCAAACTTGGTTTGGAATTTCGTCATGACCTGCCCCACCACTACACTATTCTAACGCGTAATACTCTAATCAGTCCATTGACTATGACAAAACCAAGCAAAACTGAAACCGCGGGTGAACTTCATGCATAGATCTCAATTCTCATCCAATACGCAAGAAAAAAACAAGCATTAAACAATAAATTCCATCATTTTCACTCCCACCACTCTGAAAAATATCGGGTATTGGAAGAAAAATCTCAGCAAGAATTTCATATTCTTTGTTCTTTTACATACAAGGGAACTATTCAATCCAATCCCATTTTTTGATTCTCCTCTCTGTTTCTTGAAATCTTCTTGATGGGTTTTCCTCATAGAAAATTTTTGTCAGAAGATAAAGATAAAGTTCCTACAGCTGATAAGGGCTATGATGATCATCATAAGTGCAAGAACGGATTTGTTTTGCCAACTCCATCTCTAGTTCCACCTAGATCAAACCATCAAATGCCCCCCATTTTGATTCTTATGCTTTGTATTCTTGCGGCTGCTTTTGTGTTTCTCGTCTTTTTCACAGTCCGTAGATACCGTTGGAATTTGAGAAATTCTAGGAGGAGAAATTCACAAACTGTAGAGAATGCTAACAATCGGGAGGATTTTATTGATGAGAATCAGGGGCCAATGGTGGATCATCCCATATGGTATATTCGTACCGTTGGGCTTCAACAATCAGTAATTGATTCTATTGCTGTGTTTAAGTACGAAAAGGGCCAGGGTTTGATTGAAGGGACAGACTGTTCTGTTTGTCTGAATGAGTTTCAAGAAGATGAGAATCTTTGGCTTTTGCCAAAGTGTAGCCATGCTTTTCATGTACCTTGTATAGATACTTGGTTAAGATCACATCAAAATTGTCCCGTTTGTCGCGCTCCAATAGTCAGCAATACGAATTCAGCTCCGGTGAGCTCGGTGTTAACAAACTCGAATGATTTAGCTCCGAGGGAAGAGGCTCGAATGGAAAGTGAAGTGGATCAACGCGCAATGGAAACAGATGAAACTAGGGAAATGAGGGTTGGGATTGAAAATGGATCATCAACACAAATTGAAGATGGAAAAGTGGCTGACTTTTTGCAAAAGAACTCAATTCGCCTTAATCTGAGGAACAGTAAGCAACGAGTAGTAAGTGATTTGGTTGATAATCGGATGAAATTAGATGAGGAGTTGCAACCTGTCAGGAGATCAATATCAATGGATTTTTCTTCTGCTTCAATGATTTATAATGCGGTGGTTGACATTCAGGCGAAAAAAGATGAAGGGTGTTCAGATTCTAGACTGGCAATTGTGGAGAAGCAAAATTCAGATATGAATGCAAAGACGAGGAGCAAAAATTCAAGCATATACAGGCTAATAAAGAGTGCTTCGTCTGGGCGTTCCCTGCAGAAAGGGCCTATTTCAATGAAGAGGTCATCTTCTTATGTTGCCAAGCACTCCCTAGGAAAGTACAGTGCAAGCCAGGATTCAATCCAAACTCAACCATAAGATCAAGATCGACGTCATATCATATATTAATTTTCTCTAATAATGTCTACTTATAGCTTGACAGAGGCATAGAATTTTGAAAGCATAATGAATGAGCTGATTAGTCTATGAGGTTATGGTTGGTGGCGGCATGGAATATGGAATTCGAGGTTTTAACAAAAATGAAAGGAGAAAAGTATGTGATTTGGTCAGTGTTATTCTTGAAATGTATTCTTGCACAATTATGTGTAAGATTATTGTTTTTGTGGAAATCAAATCAAAATATGGCTTTCTTTTAAATCATGCTGATGTCCTAATTCTGAATATTTCCTTCGTTTTGCTTGAAAATTCGTAACTCATTTTGTTTTGCTTATATCTGTGCTTATCAGACCCAGTTGCAATGCCGTAATGGTATTTAACTCCACCAATTAGAGAAAAAATTTAAGAAATTTGGTTATTACAAAGTCTAGTCGAGTCTTGCACACTAAACGCTAGTCGGGAAGGTTGATCCTCAACCCCAATAGGCGCAGAGGAATCAACAATTAACGGGTCCATATTCGCTCTTTCATAAGAGCATTTTTCTACGTCAATTTTCCCATCATTTTCCAAACTGCGAGTCAAAGTGATCCTTTGGACATTTCAAGATGCAGGCATAAGCGTGTAAAGAAAATTAACACAATACTCATCGAATACCAA